TTGTCTTTGTAACGACATGCTCAGTTTTAAATTTCCTGTTACCATGGCAATGAGGGGACATCTCAAAATTGCCAAAAATCACTTTTTTGCCTCGATTTTTTCCATCAAAATTTATTTCAAAGTGCTGCAACTTCTTAAGGGATTGAGATAGAGTCAAAGGCTTTTCAGCGTTGGTTACATGTTACCTTATGATCAACCTGGGGTCATTTTAAGCCTCTCACAAGTCCAAAATTTTCTTGGCGATGAGGGGGACTCCGCCCCCCTTCAATCCCCCCAAACAGAAGGGGGCACATCCCCCTTCTGGCAACCCCCTGATGTATAATTTGGATGGGGGACGGCGCCGAAAAAATGGTCACTTTTTTTAACAACATTTCTCAAACGAAAAACAGTGTTTGGGGTCTAAATAGGACATGTTTTCACTGTTTGAGGCCTTAAAAAGGGGGGGGAGGGCAAAAAGCCGTCGAAACACGCTTATATAAGGGAAAAGGTTAAATAGATCTTAGCAATAAATTAAGGCACACTAAGAAGAAAACTAGAAATGTGTCCATAGGACACGGATGCCCCCACAAGTCACTGTTCTGTCAATCTTATGACTCTAGGTCAAATATTTTGGACTACATGTGCCACAAGTTGAAAACTAAAAATCAAAAAAGGGCCATAATTCTCTAAAATTTGGTCGCAGCAAAAATTCTTTCCTTTACTACCATCTACACATTAAGGTTGTTCATCCCTGGAAGTTTAAGCAAAATCTGCCATCCGGTTTAAGGAGTTGCGTTCACAAAATTTCTACATAGTATATAATGAAAAAATAAAAAAGGGCCATAATTCTGTTAAATTTGGTTGCAGCAAAAATTCCTTTCTTTACTACCATCTACACATTAAGGTTGTTCATCCCTGTAAGTTTAAGCAAAATCTGCCATCCGGTTTAAGAGGAGTTGCGTTCACAAGATTTCGGGACGTACGGACGGACTGACAGACGGACAGACTGACGGACGGACAAGTGCAACGCTATATGCTCCCACATTGTGGGGGCATAAAAATGGTCAATCAAGGGTAGGGAAACATTTTTACACATATTTAAATCATTTGGTGGAGAAACAATCACTTCACAGCTGTGCTTTGCTATTGAATATTTCTTTTGTTTCAATCTTGAATAACCAAAATGTAAACAATGTTCATAAGGATGAACTGTATTGTAAATTTTGCATACATATTGAGGTCTTGTTCAAGGCAACAAAACTGTATTGTAAATTTTGCAGTTCCTTGTAATGCCCTGTAGGATTGATTTGTACTACCTTAAAACACCATATGTAAGTGATCATTTTCAGCAAAGGAAAAAGACTGTCATAGGCAGTATCTTAATGCCAATTGACAGAAATATTTAAAGTATGTTCTTAACTAACACTATAAAAACTATTAAGTATTTCAGTATGTAGATTAGAAATGCAAACTAAACAATTTCAGTTTCAAGCCTTTTCCTAGACATTTTGGAAAAATTTCCTAGCAAAAGTTAAGAAATTTTGCATCTTGATTGGGAAAAATATTTAGTACCATGTACAAAGTTGTTAATCCAACAAATTGTATATCATTCAAAGCATAAAAAATACATAAAAAATACATAAAAAATTGACAATGGAATGTGTTTTTGAACATCATCTGTCTGGTACCATATTGGATTGAAATGGAATGAAGAAAAATTGTCAGCTTTGATAACGGGAATTTTGACTTATGATTTTTTTCTAAACTTGGAAAAGAAAAAAAGCATATTTGGCATTATTTGCCACTGGGAATGGGTCTGTTAATCTGGCCCGTGGTGACACTGGTAAAAATGCATGTTTTCATTAATTTTTTTTGGAAAACAGTTTGGTTTGTGAAATATACATTAAATATTATATAAGTACCTGTTGTTTGTAATAATCTTCTAGTCTTTCTTTAATCTTATACTGTACTTTTTTCTAGCTACATGTACCAGCCTTTCCAAGTGAATATTAAAGTAAATGATCTTTTATTTCCCTGAAAATATCAATTTAGAGATTTCATTTTCAAAATCATCTAATACTACTCTCTTAGTGTGTGTATATACAATGTATATATGTGTCTATACAATGTATATATATGTTTACACTATAATATGATTGTGTACAGCATGTAATGACATAATTAAAATTTGAAAAATTTATGATAATAAAATATTAATAATATTTCTTCATATTACTCCACAGTATTACCACTAAAATAGAAAATGTTCTATCATTTTATTATGATATTTATTTTTTACATGTAGATTTGTGAAAAAAATGTGAATATCAGTAGTGTCAAAAATTGTTAAATCATATAAAATGTCTAATTAACACTGATAAATTACTTCAACCATGTATTGAGAACAGGTATAGATCATTTCCAACAGTCTTGCTGTTGTGTTGACATTTTCGCGACATGGTTGTGTGTCTGCCTTGTAATCAAGAGGTCTGGGGTTCAAATCCCTTTAAGTGCCTGAAGATTTTTCAGGTTAACAATTATCAAGGTGGCAGTGATTTTTTTTTTCAACTTTCAAAACAACCTGTGGCTTTATAAATGGGAAACTATAGCTTGATTAATCAGAAAAGAGGAAAAATTTGAAACCACTGAAAATGGAATTTACCCATACATTTAAAAAAAGTGTAATTCAATTTAAACTAAAAGGGTTCCATTGAGGTATTTTGTCATGATGGGACTGAAATATTTTTTCCAGATAAATGTACCATTTGATGAATGTTTAGAACACTAATCTTTGTACAAACCTTTAGATCATTTGCGCACTTGGTTTTTCCAGAATAATTATTCAAATTGTAAAAAGATGACCCAAAATGAAATGGCTAGACTTTAAATAGATATATATAATAATTTATAAAGGTCAAAATAAAATTATTCTGAAATATTCAAGAATGTGCCCCATTTGGTAGAGACGTAACGGCCGTGACAAGACCAAAAAATTGTAGGCATATATGCCGGTTTTCCTGTAAAGGCAGACATCTGTGTAATATCAATTTGTAAAATCTGTCGATTTGCAGTCTAAGTATGATCGAAATGTCTTGGGTACGAAAGACTCGAGATCTCCAAATTACTTCGAAATTATTTACGAAAGTTTTAGTCCTCGGAAACAAATTGGCATCAATAAATAAACTTAATATTATTATTCATCGAATTCATAACATATTTTGCTTTATAACTTACCTTATGAGCTCAACAGGCTGATAATTATGCTCGTGAAATAGGTCAAAAAATATACCGGAAGTTGTCGGTTCATTTAACCTAATTATCGGCTAATCCAGAGACGAATAGATTATCTACATCTCTGGCTAATTCTATTTCAATATCCACTTTGCAATTATAAACTACAAAATTTATCCGATAAATAATGTCTTTTTCAAAAATTTCTGGAATATAATACAAAAAAATGTGATGATAAGGCGGATGAGTAAGTTAAATATTGCAAGCCGTCAAGCACTATGACCCAATTAATTTACTATCCCATTCATAGAATTATGTGACCTTTCAAATTATATCCGCTACGTTTCTTATACCGTAATTCAAGCTCAATTGCACATTATTTTCAAAAATTAAATTTCTTGTCTCCTCTTCTGTTCGCAATAAATCGAAGTTTTCAGATATTCAGAGCACTATTTTTCACTCGCGGCGGTTATGCGTCGGTCATGGTCGGGTGATCACTATGAATTCAGCTTACCTTGATATGTTAGAATACAATATAGCATATAGAGTGGCGATGAAACGTCACAGCAGTGGGCGTTACCCTGTATGGTTGGAAATTTCGGGTTTGTAAGTGCACTAGTTGGGACTATGTCCCAACTAAAAAAGTATTTAAAAAACGGTAAATTTACCCATAACCTTTAAAAAAAAAAGGTCTATTCATTCAATGCCCACCTCCCGAAATCACCGGAAAATTTATGTACGGAATATATCCGATCAATCCGGCATGTACCGTGATTATGGCATTTAAACACGGCGCTTATCGATCGATCGATTCCAATTGGACACCAACATTGGCACTGATAAGAAAGCGCGAGTTGCATGTCCCCTTATCTTATGTCCCAGTCTTCACTGACCAATTTTCAAAATTCCCTGACAATTCCCTGACCTTGAAAAAATATCAGATTTCCCTGACTTTTCAAGTCTGCTGGCAACCCTGACTATCTCAGGCCTAAAAAAAGGGGGGGGGGGGTCGAAAGTGCGTTGTTTCGCGTATATATGGGGTAAAGGGTTAAAACATCTGAATTTTTCAATCTATCCATTTGTTGACTTTAAGAAACTAGCTGACCATTCCTTCGCAGCCATTTTCACCTGCTTAAAACCTTGCTTGTTTATAATATTAATCTGAGTCGAATCATTACTTCATGGTGTTGAATCGTTATTGTGGAAAAATTACTAAATTCATTTTTGCAAAATGCAATGTTCAGTAAAACCCATTTTAATAAAATAGAGTATATACTGTACAGTATTTAAAGTTCTATTTGTAAAATTTGCTGAAAACAGAAGCAACGGTACTGTATCCATTAAAATTTTTAAAAAAATGTACTATTGAGTTTATTTATATTAAAGTATTATTTTACTAATAAATTTGAACTGTAAAGTGTAAGATTACTTACGCAAACAACGTCCTTTTCTAACTTTATCTGTTTATTTTGCCGCTTTTTAACATGTTTTTTAATCATCTCTAGCGGTTTTATTTAAACAGACCTGTCACAGGAATCACCTTCTAAAAGCTATCAGTATCATCCCTCTTTTGCTTTAGACATTTTTCATTTTCGTTGGTGCGAAACGGTATCTGGTCAATTTGATAACCAATTTGACCACACGCGCTCTTCGTTTGTTTACAACGTAGTATGTATCCCTGCTCTGATTTGTATCCCTGCTCTGATTTAGCATCTTCGAAAATTCGCGGGAGAACGAGAACCAGCGGAGGTTTGGACATATTTGGTTTTTATCCATTTTATAATAGGTGTGAGATATTAAAGTTGGCCAGGACAAAAAAATAAATAACAGCAAATTTTGCTTAAGATTTTTTTACATATTGCAGTTAAGGTTCAACAAAAATGAACAAATTTAAGAAATGTTTGTCTATTCTAAATCAGTTGACGTCATTTTTTACAAATGTCAATTGCATCTTAACTGTGAAATAGCAGATCTAATGTTTTTCTATTTTTAGAGAATTCGTCATAACTTATGACAGTAAACAATCGGATTCATAGTTATTTATAGTTCTGTTCTAAAACTTCCTCATTTCTGTTATTACTTTTGCAAGGTAAGACGTTGTTGTTTTTTAAAGATTATATTCAATTGTTAGGACTTATTTGTATGTCTGCTCTCAGGAATATAAAGGCTTCAACAAAAATATAGGGACTCAAAACAGGCTTTTTTGTCAATTCCAAGTTTTTAGTTTCTATATTAAAAATTTAGGACCCTGTCTTATACCATAAACACCATTTATGTCCCAATCCCTGACACATTGTCGTTCAGAATTTTACAATTTATAAGTGTTTAAATCCCCACATCTCCTGCTTAGGTAACATGCATTCACTTTTTTTATTTTAGAATAACCATTGTCCAACTTGTTTTGTTCTGGTTTGAGATAATGTGTCACATGATGTGTAAAGTGAGATTCAGACACAAAACAAGAGAACCTCTGAGTTTGCTCAGGTATATACATACCTGGTTTGCTCAACAAGTAAAAAAAGACTAAAATTAATGAGGCCCTGCATTTAAAATTTCAACTTTAAAGTTAATAATCTTATGAAAGCTAGCTGTTCATAAAGTTATTCTAATGGAAAAAAAAGAGAAACAAACATTCAATTTATCCATAGCATTATGTACTTGTATTATTTTATTACAGTATAAAATTTGACACAAATATATACACTACACTACGTCAAAATGAATTTCGGATCTGACTATGTGTACATGTATGAGGAGCCAAGTTTTGAGTACATTTCTGATGAAGAGTTAGAAGGTGGAATGAATGTGAGGTAAGTGATTTTAGATCAGCATAATTTATGAAAAAAATTATGATTGGTCAATGCTACAAATAAAAAGCAAAAACGATCTAACATGCCTAGCCATACCTGGCAGTGCTGCCTTCTTAAGATTTTAATATTTGATAATAAAGTCTCTAATATTTCCGAATATTCTTAGCTAAATTTAAAGCACGTTAAGAATATAATCAAATTGAGCTGGGGAGCATACCATTGTTTTGGTTTTGTAAAGTGCATGCTGTGGATTTAGCTTTATTATTCCAAAAATAGTGAAGGAAGATATTCCTTATATGATATACTCTGAGTCTCAGACTTGCTTGCAGTTGATCTCAGGGGGAAAAATGTATGACCATCATGGCTGAAATTGTGTCAGGAGATGAATTTGCACAATTTGCATTCAACATTCATTTCTGTGCTGTATATTATTTAAACTGAAAATGGATATGCATTTTGTCATATAATGAAAAAGCAAACATATGACCATATGTAAGAAAAGAATCTAGGTGGCTTGCATCATCGCTGGTTATTTTTCTCATGTGCAAGATCTTGCCCATATAAGAAGGATCAATCTGTGATATAGAGTTTTTCTTATCTTTGAAAGCTTAAAACAACCAACTTGCCATACAACTTATACCTTCCTCAGTTATCTGACGGGGAAAACAAATTCTAAAGATAAGTAAAATCTATCATTAGTTGTTGTTGTTACATTTTTTGTTGTTGCTAAAACCATTTTTCAGTGACTCTGACTCAGATTCACCTGACGAAGAACATCATGTACGAATAGATGCAGCTTCCACACGTTTGGAAGAAGATAATGTTTATTCAGGTAAGTTTGTAACTTTGTATTTTACCTGTATTTGTTATTTTAATTTTATAGAAGACTATTTTTATATTAATACAAGAGATTTCTATAAACAGAATAATGTACATGTATCTATTTATCATAAAGTAATAATGGTCAGAATTTATTTCTAGTTATATACTTTTTCTGACTTAGAATACCAGTAATTCTACTGAAATAGATAATTTTTGGTTGATCAATTGGCATGTTGGCACTACAACTTTAAGGAAAAATAAACTATGTATAGGAAAAGCACATTCCCTATGACAGGTCAGTCACTGTCAAGTAAAGTTGGTATTTTTCTAAAAAACTGCCAGTTTTTTAATGGCTCCATATATTCATATTGTGACCACTTTAAGTGTATAACATATATACTTTGTGTGAAGTCAAAACATGTTCATTTTATATTGACAAAAAGACTAACGTGTGTAGAAGTTATCAATATATTCTAATAATTAATTTGAGCATTGTATATCTTTCTGTAACACAAAATTCAGCAAGTAAAAGGGTAAAGTGCTACTACTATTTACATATTTTATTTTCCTGCTAATCTTTCAGATCCCGGCCCTGTTCCACCAACAAGTGGTGCACATTTATTCTGTGCAGCAGGCCCTCCCCTACCACCACGGGCACCACCACGGGCACCACCACGGGCAAAAAAGCCAAAGTCTCACTGGAAGATGGGAAAAGGTATACTTACATAAAACTACAAATTTTATTTTCTATTTGAAGAATATTTAAGTCTGTTATGTTTACAAATGTTAGTATCAAGACACATATTTTAATCATTGATCATATATAAATTAACAGGTCTTGTCCTATTCAAAAGGAAATGTAATGTCTTTAAATGTAAATGTCTTTATTCGTTTTAATGTAAGACATGTTCATATATTATTTTATTTTTATTGCTCTTCTTCCTTTATTTTCTTTGCTGCTGAAAAAGATTAGATATAAATCCATATCCTGGCAAGTAGAGAAGCATTTTTAAAAATGCACAGGTTGAGGTTGGAATAGATTTATGTATAGAAGAAATGTATTTTTTATTTAATTTTATTATGTGTAGATTAACTAAAATCCGCTACTTTTATTATTTTCCTATTTACGTAAAGAAGGTTCAGACCCCATACCTCAGAATCATAGGCGTGTAAGACAAGGGGACACAAATGTTGTGACAGTAAAGTTTGACAAGCTGATAGCTCCAAGTAACATGCACGCTGGGGACGCTCAATCATGTACCAACTGTGCAGCCATCTTGTCTAAAATCAGCAAGATTGATATTCTCGGAGAGGAGAAGGTCGGTTCATATCATATTAACATCTGTTTTTATCCTTTTCTTTTATTTCATGTAGTTTTATTGCTCTTTCTTATATAGAAAATATTAATGTTCACCTTCTTCTCATATCTAGGAATTCAATTTATTTTTATCAAACATGGTCTGAATGTTCTTTATAAACATTTTTAAAATAGTTCAAATAAAGCTATATTGAAATGGAGGGACGACAGAACAAAACATGAAATGTACTGAACAAGGCCTGTTGAATCTAGAAACTCAAAATAATTTGGATATGAAAATTATTTCATCTTTAATTCAGATACTGTATAAGTGGATAATTGTGTATCACAAAAATTTTGGGAATGTCAAAAAGTAGACTTTTTGCATGCGGAAATATCTGGCAAAATATGATTTTTTGAACTTAATACTGTTTTTGTGATATCATTAATTACGCAGGTACAAGTTAAGAATATGCCGTTATTGTAATCAGTCTATTCATTTGTTTAATTTCTTTATTATTTATGTAACTGTTTGAAGTATTCATTGTATGTTAGATAAATATCTGATCTAACATTTCTTTGTCATATTTTAAAACATTCTGTCCTTATATGAATAACCAACAGTGTTATAAACAGCAATGTGGAAAAATAATCTTAGTACCTTAACAGTCAAACTTATTCATGTAAGATGCTGTATGCAAATGTGTTTGCAAATGATAAAAGAAAGTTTGCTTAAAAAAAAATAATTATTTCTGCGCTTTCAGATATTTGCGAATTATTTCAATTTGCAAAATTGCAAATATTTTCATGTCTTAAAATTAACCACTTATACTGATTTTTGAAAAATAAGCAGTAAATGATCTATTTTGTCTTACCGGGTATCTTATTTAATGCATGTACTATATTTGCCCTCTTTGTATAAATGTAAGTAAAAGTTCAATACATGTTGTTGATACTGTTGTTGTTTTAAGGTGTGGACTTGTGAGTACTGTGAAACTAGAAACGTTGTAGATATTGAAGAAGAGGAGGTGCCTAAAGAGGCAGACGTCACGTTTATGTTAGAACCAGCCCTCTCCACAACAGCTAGTGGACCGACTGGCCTTGATGAGTCACTTGTTATCTTCTGTGTTGATGTGTCTGGTAGTATGTGTGTAACAACTGAGGTATATAATTTTCTGGTTAACATAGCAAAAATTGATACAAAATTAGTAAAGTTTTAGTGGAAGATTATCTTCAGGAATACACAATGTTTTTTTATTTGATGAATCTCTGTTATAATGTCTGAAATATAGTTTTTATTTTTGTAAGTAACTTATTATCTATCTATTGCGCAAAGTTTATCAAGTTTATCTCTGACATCAATTTGTGGGGGAAATACCCCAGAAAGATACATATAATATTAGATCAGTTTAAATGCACTGTTATTCAATGTTCAAATAAAAAAAAATATTGTAACATTTAAATTTAATAAGTTCCTTGTGAAAACGTTCTGCATGAAAATATAGCCTATCTAATAAATTTTAAGTTGATACTTGTGTATGTTTTGTCAACAGGTGCCTGGCCATGTTGAGCTCAGAGGTGCGTCAGATTTACGACGTGCTCAGGCCTTGAATCGTGAACGTTCTGACCAATTCCTACCACGTCAACGCCGAAATGTTACCTATATATCTAGACTGCAGTCAGTTCAGGCAGCCATTGATCATCAGCTTCAGGAGATGGCAAAAGAATACCCAAACAGACGTGTGGCCATAGTTACATTCAGCAATGAGGTAGTTACTATATAATAAGTTATGGTCCGTTTTCTTAGAAACTACTCAAGCTATTGACTTCAAACTTAGGATACTTGTTAGTTATCAACGTGTTATGCCATTTCACAAGGGCATATACATGTAATCTATTTTAATCTAATCTAATCTATTTACAAAGTTATGCTCTTCTGACTCAATTTTTTTTTGCAGGTGACAGTGGTTGGCGATGGAAAAATAGATTCAGTTGCTATTGCTGGGGATAAGCTTGGTAACAAAGATACCCTAAAAACTGTTGCTATGGAACAACCATTCCCAGAAGCTATTAAAAATACCAGGCAACAACTTGGCCAAAAATTGTTTGAGTAAGTTGTTTTGTTAATTGTTTTGTTAATCATTCTGCATAGACTTTTTTTCTTTTTCTTTTTTCAGGCCCCGAAATTTTTAATGTGTATAACTTTGTTCATATTATGTTACATGTGCCAGAGAACTGCCGTTTTGAATACTAGTAACAGACAGTGCAATGTACCTGCATTAGTCACATGTGAAGAGCCAAATTATATACTGTTGATTCTACATTTGACTTCTCTATGTCTGTTGTATGAATTGAGTATGATTCAGGCAAAAACAATATGGAATAAGGTAAAGGTTTTTAAACCAGTAAGGATGAATTTACACATATCTATTTTAGATTAGAAGAATGTGGGCCTACAGCACTTGGACCAGCTTTATTGGTGTCAACAACTATGGCATCAAAGGTTCGTGGGTCAAAGGTTATTCTGTGTACAGATGGTCTTGCTAATGTTGGGATGGGAAAACTTGACAATCACAAGACTGACCAGGAGCTGGAAGATGCTATTAAATTCTATGATGAAATTTCTGACAATGCTTTGGAAAATGGGTAAGCTGCATGACTTACAAATAAAATGTCCTTGGAAATAAAAGGCAAATTTCTAGTAAACAAGTAATTCACTACTTTTAAATGGTATTCGCTAATATTTTTTTTCAGCCATTCTCACTTCTTAACAAGTCAAAAATGGATTTACACATTGTTTATGAAAGGTGCTAAAGCATTAAACCAATGTCATAGCATGAATTGCCAAGATCAGGGTTGCCAGCAGACTTGAAAAGTCAGGGAAATCTGATATTTTTTCAAGGTCAGGGAATTGTCAGGGAATTTTGAAAATTGGTCAGTGAAGAATAAAAATCCTAAAAAGTCAGGGAAAAGTCAGGGAAAAATAATTTTGAAGAATTTTCCTTATATGTATAAAGTAAAAACTGGAAACAAACCATGTTCACCTCTTTTAAGATCTAGAGCTTAGATATTAAGCATGTAACATCTTCAGTGAGTGTCTACCAATTTTGTACAAATAAAAGCCTTTGGGTCAAAATTTGCCCAGTCAAGGGGGTCATTCATTTTCCTTATATGTTTATATAAACTTAAAAATTATTGTAACAAACCCAAAAGAGCTAGAGTTTAGATATTAAGCATGAAACATTTTCTAGTGTATGTCTACCAAGTTTGTTCAAATAAAAGTCCTTGGGTCAAAATAAGCCCCACCCCAGGGGGTTACTGATTTTCCTTTTATGTACATAGGAAAAAAAAAACAAAATATCTTCTTTGAATTTAACCCAAAGAGGTAGAGCTGTGATATTTGGCATGAAACATCTTTTAGTAAGTGTCTACCAAGTTTGTTAAAATAATAGCCCTGGGGTCAAAACTGGTCCAGTCATGGGGGTCATTAATTTTCCTTATATGTATATATAGTAAAAACTAAAAAGTCTTCTTTTAAAAAACAAAAGAGCTAGAGCTTAGATATTTGGCACGAAACATTTTCCAATGGGTGTTTACCAACTTTGTTCAAATAAAAGCCCTGGGGTCAAAATTATTCTTGTTCATGGAGAGTTTTTATATTCAGATGAGTAATTTCAGGGCCATCATGACCCTCTTGTTATTAGTTATATTGGCTATGGCAGTATTCTGTAGCTCAAGATAATAGTTTTGCTTCAGGCTTGATCTTATTAAAAACATTTTACTGAAGACAAAATACCAAACTTAGATGTATAAAGCATGTTTTATTGACCATATTGTTAAAAGCATTAAAAAAAACCAACAACAAAACTTATGGGTGCAGGGCTTTTTTCACAGGCTGGGGAAGCAGCCCTGCCCTTAATTTTGGGGATACATTAATGGTATATTTGCAAAAGGGGAAGAAAAAACTTGATGTAAATTATATTTTTTGGGAAAACTGCATGATTTTAAAGAATTTCTTTTTGGGGATACAGTCCTATAATGGCCCCTGCTATAGAAGGAAAAAAAGCCCTGGGGTGAATTGGACGGCTGTAGGGGAGGTGGAGACCGTTTAAGTTTGGTAGTTTTAGTCAGTGAAAAACCTAATTTGGTCAGGGAAAAGTCAGGGAATTTTATTTATCTATGATGCTGGCAACCCTGAAGATAAATAATAAACAAATTTTCACATGGTTTTCTAAAAAAATGTCAAGACAAGATGTTTTACAGAGTAATGATGCCTGTGCAACTTAAACTTTGCACATGTTTTTTTATAGAGGCCAAGTTAATTAAACACATTTCAACATGATTGTTGATAGATGCCAAGTTAAACAAATTTTCACTTGGTTTTTGATAGACACAGACAATTTAACAGATTGTCACATGGTTTTTAATAGAGACCAAGATTACTTAACAAATTGACACATGGTTTTTGATAGAGACCAAGATTACTTAACAAATTGACACATGGTTTTTGATAGAGACCAAGATTACTTAACAAATTGACACATGGTTTTTGATAGAGACCAAGATTACTTAACAAATTGACACATGGTTTTTGATAGAGACCAAAATTACTTAACAAACTGACAACATGGTTTTTGAAAGAGACCAAAATTACTTAACAAACTGACAACATGGTTTTTGATAAAGACTAAGATTACTTAACAAATAGACACATGGTTTTTGATAGAGACCAAGATTACTTAACAAATTGACACATGGTTTTGGATTGAGACCAAGATTACTTAACAAACTGACTCATGGTTTTTGATAGAGACCAATATTACTTAACAAGTTGACACATGGTTTTTGATAGAGACCAAGATAACTTATCAAATTGACACATGGTTTTTGATAGAGACCAAGATTACTTAACAAATTGACACATAGTTTTTGATAGAGACTAAGATTACTTAACAAATTGACACATGATTTTTAGATGTCCTGATTACTTAACACTCTAAGTCTCACAATGGTATAAAACTATTTTACTTTCAGAGTTTCTATATCAGTAATAACAATAAAGGGCACTGATTGTAAACTTGTTGAGATTGGAAAAATGGCAGACAAAACTGGAGGCCAGGTACAGAAGTTAATATATGATTTTAGCGCTGTGTGCATGATGCTCATCAGAAATAAACATAATTATATATTTTTTTGATAATTTTTTTTACATACTTGAAAAGTACTTGCTCTGAGTAAGGTCCAAGTATAAAAACCAAAAGAGACAGTGCATATAAGTTCCTTCACTTAGGGAAATTATTAATTATTGAGCTGGCTTACTGAAGAGACTTTATTGGTTTATACAGAATTTATTTTAGTACGATTGTGTAGAAAGCTGTTAGCTTATAGACACACTTTCAAATCCTTTCCTGGAACCAACCAGTACTGAGCAATGTGTGTAAAGTTTCTTGCTCAAGGAATCAACAACTTGCCTTTGACAGGGATTGAATCCATGCGGCTAGCGATCAGTAGGTTACTAATCCGAGGCATTAACCACCTGGCCATGCCGCCACTTGAGTTGGCTTACTGAAGACAGATGGCTCAACTCAGCAGGCCACAATTTATTCTGTGATTATGTTTTCTTATTCATATGGAATCTTATTGATTTATTATTGATACATGATAGGAACATTACTGTGTTAAAATAGTTATTATAAGTTTATTGAGTTATGAGTTATTGAAGTTTTAACAAAGCTTTGTATTTTGCAGGTGAACATAGTTGATCCATTAAAACTGACACAAGAATTCAGTACAATCCTGGCTAATAAAATCATTGCTACAAATGTTGTTGCAACATTCATTCTACATAAAGAATTGTAAGTATTACTATATTATATTACCTTCAAGACAGACCACTTATAAGATGGGGGTCCCAATTTGCCTTAAAACTGCAGTTTTTACCCTCTTATATGACAAATAAATATTTTTGGGGGGAAATACTAGTCAGATTTTATGGAATATTGTCATTGATCATGGAAATCAAAACTTCAAATTAAATAAGTTCATCACTTGCACTTTAGCC